TAATATATATATATATATATATATATAATGTGTTAAAATCATATAATTATTAACTTATTTAAATACATATATTATAATTTTAATTCATATATAAATAATATATATTTTTTATCATTAATTAAATAAAATGTATATAAATTTTTAGTATTATAATATTATTGATATAGATAAATTAATAATTTCAATCATACAAAGTAGTATATATTAATGTATCTTTCAAAAAAAAATATAAAGATATTTGATAAAATAAATATATTAAAAAATTAATTAGAAATATCAATAAATCAAATTACTTATTAATGTTACATTAACAAAAATTATTAGATTTTTAATTAGGGGACAAAAATTACACAATTATGATATTTGATGAGTTAAAATTCCTTAATTAAAAATTGAATCATTAGACAACTATAATACTTAAATAAAATTACTTAATTTAAATTTAAAGATTAAAATTACATAATTATAATATTATCCAAAAACGCAGTTGAGCCTTTAAAAAAATATACTAGCATAGTTATGGAAGCGTCTATATATATATATTGTTAACCATAACACAGAAGAGGAAAGTAAATACATGATGAAGGAGGAGTTATTTTACTTTTACTTCGTGTATTAGGACAAGATAAAATGTTTTATTGGTAAAAGGGATAACAAAGATCACATTTGATGGATCGATTTTAACAACAAACTCTAGTATTATAATCAGAAGAATTTACTCCCTTAAGTAGTTTATATTATTTTAAAGAAAAATTGATAATGGAAAAGTCCTCACAAGTTGACTTGACTTAAAGCATTATAATACAACAACCCCTCACTTGCACAAGTATGTATGTATCGACTTCATCATTTAGTTAAAGCTCCAGTTTTCTGATCCAATTTGCAGAACAAAAGAAGAAATGGCATTAGCTATGGTGGGAGAGGCACTTGTCTCTGCTTCTGTGGAGATCTTATTAGAGAAAATTGTTCAGAGAAAATTGTTGGCACTGAAAGCTGTGCTCAATGATGCTGAGGAGAAGCAGATCACTGATCCTGCAGTGAAAGCATGGCTTGATAAGTTGAAAGATGCTGTCTATTATGCTGAAGATTTGTTGGATGAAATCAACACCGAGTCTTTGAGATGCAAGGTGGAGGGATAATATAAAACATTTGCTACCGAGGTTAGATCGTTTCTTTCATCTCCCTTTAACCAATTCCATAGGAGCATGAATCCAAAACTTGAAGAAATATCTACAAGACTAGAACATTTTGTGAAACAAAAAGATATTCTTGGTTTTCAAAGTGTTTCTAGGAGAGTTTCTTGTAGAACAGCTACAGATTCATTGATTGAACCTATTGTTGTTGCAAGAGATGATGACAAAGAAAAGCTACTGAACATGCTTCTATCTGATGACCATGAAAAGAAGAACAATATAGAAGTAATTACAATATTGCCCATGGGAGGAATGGGAAAAACAACCCTTGCTCAATCCCTTTATAATGACAGTGAAGTGCAGGAACATTTTGATTTGAAAGTTTGGGCATGGGTGTCAGATGATTTTGATGTTTTTAGAGTGACAAAAAAATTGTTGAATCTCTCACATTGAAAGATAGTAATATTACTAATTTGGATGTTCTTCGTGTTGAATTAAGGAATAGGTTAAGAGAGAAGAAATTTTTGCTTGTGCTTGATGACCTTTGGAATAACAAGTATAATGATTGGCATCACCTAATAGCTCCTTTCAGCGGCGGGAAGAAAGGAAGTAAGATCATTGTGACAACCCGACAACAAAGAGTTGCACAGATCACACATACTTTTCCCATTTGTGAGTTGAAGCCTCTTACAGATGATAATTGTTGGCACATACTAGCCAATCATGCATTTGGAAATGAAGGTTACGACAAATATCCTAGCCTCGAAGAAATTGGTAGGAAAATTGCAAGAAAATGCAATGGCCTACCACTAGCTGCTAAAACATTGGGAGGCCTTTTGCGATCAATTGTTGATCTTGGTGACTGGAAAAGAATTCTGAACAGCAGCTTATGGGCACATGATGATGTTTTACCCGCTCTACGCATAAGTTATCAACATCTTCCAGCACATATGAGAAGATGTTTTGCTTACTGCTCAATTTTTCCAAGACAACATTTTTTGAATAAGAAGGAATTGATTTTGTTATGGATGGCTGAAGGCTTTCTTCAACAGGTCCACAGTGAGAAAGCAATGGAATCAGCAGGTGATGATTGCTTTAATGAATTCTTATCTAGATCCTCAATTGACAAAGAGAAAGCTGAAGTTGGAGAAAAGTTTCGAATGCATGACCTCATTTATGATTTAGCAAAACTAGTATCCGGAAAAAGTTCATGCTACTTTGAATCTGGTGGTAAGTTCCCGGGAAGTGTTCGCCATCTAACATTTATTGCAAGGAAGTTTGATGTAACTAGGAGATTTGAGGGCTTGTATGAGCTAAATTGTTTGCGGACCTTTCTACCACGATTCCGATATCCAACTCAATGTTACTTAGCAAAAATAGTATCATGTGATTGGTTGCCAAAACTAAGATGCTTGCGAACATTCTCATTGTCTAATTACAAAAATATCACTGAGCTGCCCGATCCAATTGGTAATCTGGTGCTTCTAAGGTATCTAGACCTTTCCAATACTTGCATCAAAATGTTGCCTAATGCAACCTTTGTGCTTTACAATCTGCAGACTTTGAAATTATCCAATTGTAAATTTCTAATTCAGCTGCCAGAACAATTAGGAAATTTGATCAATTTACGTCACTTGGATATCAGTGGCACAAATTTGGAGTTGCCGACACAAATATGCAATCTACAAAGTCTCTGTACATTGACTTCTTTTGTAGTAGGCAAACAAAATGGACTAAGCATCACGGAATTAGGAAGATTTCCCCATTTGCAGGGTAAGCTTTCCATTTTGGAACTACAAAATGTTGACCATCCCATGGAGGCATTTCAAGCCGACCTAAAGAAAAAAGAGCAGATTGAGGAGCTTACGTTAGAATGGGGTAGTGATTCACAAGATTCACAAATGGCCAAAGATGTACTTGACAATCTGCAACCGTCAACAAATTTGAAGGAACTCAACATCAGATCCTATGGCGGCACAAGCTTTCCAAAATGGCTGGGTGATTCTTCATATTCTAATGTTATAGTCATTGGTATTACTGATTGCAACTATTGCTTGTCACTTCAACCATTTGGACAATTACCTTCTCTTAAGGAGCTTGCCATCAAAAGGATGAAAATGGTAAATACAATTGGCAATGAATTCTACTGCACCAATATAGGTTTGCCTTCTTTTCATCCATTTCCGTTGTTAGAGAGTCTCCAATTCGAAGACATGCCAGAGTGGGAGGAGTGGTTACCATTTGAAGGTGAAGGTAGCAACTTTTTTTTTCCTTGTCTTAAGAGTTTGACATTATCCAAGTGCCCTAATTTGAGAGGAAACTTGCCCAGCTCTCTACCTTCATTAACAAAGATTAGTATCTTAGAGTGCAACCTGCTACAAGCAAAATCATGTGATCTGCAATGGAAATCATCAGTTGAAGAAATACATATTAGAGAAGGGGGAGAAGACCTGTTGTCTTTGCTTGACAAATATTCTTGGTTGGAACTATCAATTGAAAATTGTGGCAGCTTTCAATCTTTGCCAAGAATGATACTCGGTGCCAATTGTCTTCAAAGGTTGACTCTTCTAAATATCCCTTCTTTGATTTCTTTCCCAACACATGGTTTGTCCACGTCATTGCAATCGCTTAAAAGCATGGACTGTGGGAACTTAGAATTTCTATCTCATGAAACATGGCACAAATACACATCACTTGAAAACCTGCGAATTTGGAATAGCTGTCATTCCATGAAATCCTTTCAATGGGATTGTTTCCCATCCCTTCCCTGGATTGATATATGGAATTGTCCCAACTTGGAAGCAATTACTACTCAAGGTGGATGGGTTGCTCTCAAATTATCAAATTTTTTTACCTGGGAATGTGAGAAACTTTCGTCACTGCCAGAACAGATTGTTCTCCCTGTCCTTAAAATCTGCTGCCTTACAAGGCTTCCGCAGCTATTATCGATTCCCCCAAGTTGTTTGCCTTCCAGTTTAGAATCACTTCATCTTGATATTGGAATTTTATCATCAATGTCTAAATATGAGTTAGGTTCGCTATTCCAATGCCTCACTTCTCTGTCAAGTCTTAACATTGTGGGTTTGCGGGGGGAAGATCTGCTCAATACCTTGTTGAAGGAGCGGTTACTGCCCACTTCTCTCCAGGATATGAGCTGTCCGATTTTGATGGTTTAAAGTTGTTGGAAGGAAAAGGGCTTCAGCATCTCACTTCTCTCCGAGAGCTTCACATCTGGAATTGTGGAAGCCTTGAGTCCTTGCCAGAAGCTCAATTGCCACCCTCTCTAGAATTACTGGAGATTTGTTTCTGTCCTTTACTAGAAGCAAGGTATCAAAGTCAGAAAGGGAAATATTGGTCTAAGATTGCTCACATTCCGGCAATCCAGATAAATGATGAAGTGATAATATAAGATGTTTCATGAGTATGAAGCGTTGAAAAGGTAAATGCTTCATTTATTTTGAGAAACTCCGGTGTTAATGTTATTGCGTATATAAATGACAGTTATTATATTTGGACGTTCCATAATCTCTTTTTTTTAAGGGAACGTTTCATAATCTTATATACTCCATTAACTGTTATTATTTATTTTTATACATCTTTTTACTATTATTGCATTATGTCACCAATCTCATTTATATTTTTCTCTTTTTTTTCAGACGACTTCATCGAAGAGGCCGGGGCCACTGAAGCTGGAGAAGTATGATGTTGCTGTGAAGATCAAGATCGTCAAGGAAGTGAGGGCTTTCACTGACTTGGGGCTGAAGGAAGCGAAGGACTTGGTGGAGAAGGCTCCCTGTGTTTTGAAGAAGGGACTCACTAAGGAGGAGGCTAAGCCCATCATGGAGAAGCTTAAGAAGTTGGGTGCTGCTGTTGTGTTGGATTGATTCTCAATTTCACTTTGATGTTCTGAATTTTGTGTTAGTTATAAATTCATTGAAACTTGTTTAGAGGTGATGAATGATAATGATAAATTATAAGTTATATGTCTTACCCCCTTCCCTCTTATTATGTTTTGTTGGTGGATTGATAGTTTTTGTTATGTGACATTCTATATTTTAATGGAAGTTTGACACCGCGGTAACCACTTTTAATGGGTTAAAATTGTGTTTCAGCATTGGGGAGGTGTGTGGTTCATCTTTGTGTAGTTGGAATAAGTGTATTACATGGGCTTATTTTCAAACTTGGTTTATTGTTTTATTTCTTTTGTCTTTAGCTTGAATGATTGATGAATATGTTATGAAGGGCTTGGACAGTTGGTGAGTGAAGTCAGAAGTAATTTGGAAAGTTGTTTTTCAAAATGACCAGATTTTGCATTGCGGAATGGTGTCTATTGGATATTTGAAGAAATACGCTGTGTGTTTGGGTTTAAGTGATCATTTTAGCTGAAATTTGGAGTATTGAGTAGTGTCATATGTTGCAGAAAGCACTTTTTTAATTAATTAAGAAGAAAGAAAACATAAAGTATATAAATGATCAAAACATGAACTGAGTTTTAAAATATCTGTTTATACTTATTATAGAGAAGACTATCATCATGTCCCTTAAAATTGTGAGCATAAATGAGATAATTCCTAGTCTTGTATTCTTTCACTCCAAATTCCTATCCATTTCCCCCTAATTTCTTAATGACTCTGTCTTTGATAACCTAATATTAAACTTTTTTATGGTAAATTTTGTATGGTAAACTTTTAGCAGGTGGAAAAGGGGATGCATTTGATGCTTTAGCACTAGCATTGAAAAACAAGGTCTTAAAATCATTTCATTGATTAATTTATTTGTTGTTTTGGAAAATGGTAATATTGATTTCTCATGTTTACCATGCTAAGCTATATGTTTCAGCCTTCTGCACTGTCACTCTTATTACAGTAGGAGGAAGAAAAACCTATTGGAGATAAATGTGAATTCAGCCCTTCAAAGAAAGACTGAAGAACTTTTAAGTAACTTGCTGCGGGTAATTGTGTGTCACATCTATGCTTCAGAAATTTATGGTTGAGCCTATGTATTGCTCTGAGAAGAAAGTTGGTTGTATGTTTGCGATACCCATATGGCAGGGGGTAGTATAATTTTCTTTCTTCTTTTAACTTCATTTGTGAAGCTATGCTGACAATCCTTTTCTTCAAGACCTATAGACAATCTAAATAATGCATTTAATTGCATGTCTGAGTGCAATTTGAAATTCTGTTTCTTCAATTCTTAAAATGTGGCTGAGAATAGTACCATTTATCCCATTTTAAATGATGTTCTAAGTAGATCTTTTTTATAGTCTTCATGACATTTAAACTTGTTTGAGTCATGCCATTTCCTTTTAAAGTTGTTCTAACTCTTTGACTCTATCAGTCTTCTTTGTGCCACCATAATTTTGGTCATGTTTGAGGCTTGAGCCATCTGAACACATTGCTATTGTTGTACTTGATCAATTGTAATCATTTTATGTGTTGACATGATGCAGTATTAAGTAGGAAAAAGGGAGCCTTGTTGAATTTTCTGATCACTAGGCTGTTTTCTTTACAATTAAGTACTATTTTCTATGTTCAGTTTTGTGACGAAAATCGAGTCATGGCTTTGTGTGATGATGGCATATTTAGCAGTTCATGTTCCACCATGAACATGGCTCTCACATGCTTGTTTGTTTTATTATGGAAATTTGAAACCATGAAACAACTTTTGGTGGTCTTGGGCTCTTGGCTATAATTTACTTTGCTTTCTTTTCTTTTAGATTTGAACCTTAGAGCTGCTTGTGCTTTGCTTCTTCCTTGTTCAATTAATGACAGAAATCACGCTTTGTATTGTTATGAAAAGAATGTTCTTTTGGATTGACACTAAATTTATGTTCCACAGTACGTCCAGACCATGATTTTGATCTATTCTATGATACGGAGTCTTGATCCTAACTTACTTAAAATGTTGTGCTGATGTTGAAGTGCCTATGAAATATTTGGTTGTATCATGCTTACTAATTTCACATTTAAAGCACTGATCATGGAAATTTTATTCAGCTTAAAATATATGTATTCTCTATTGTGTCAGGATCACATTCTGCGTTGTGCTCATTTTATGACTACTGAATTGGTTATTTTGCTGATGTTAAGTTGAATGAAATCATGGGCGTGGGATTTTTTGTTAGGAATACAAACTGCTAAGAAAGTAAAACTTCTTTGGATAACCTCTTGGTTTATGTATTTTTCTGTATTTAAAGACTTTTGCCTCTTGGGGTATGCTGAACCTCAAAATTTAAAATTCCATGTTGCACCGATATGAATTGTTACTATACGGGCCACAGTAAACTGAAAATCAGTCCCACATATATCCAGTTTTCTGGCCATTGTTTCTAAGGTTCAAGGACTTCATTGTCAAGACTCATAAGACTATGTCAATTCAATGAAGTGCTAGAGAAGTGCTACTTTCCCAACATGTTAAGCAGCTAATATTAGATCTGTTAATGTGTTTCCCATGTATGCATGGAACTAAGAATTTCTGCCAAACAAATTTGTTCTTAGTATTGATTTTCTATACTATCAACTCATTGTTTGAGAAATAAAAGTTCTGCTTTCTATATTAAATGGTTTGGGACTAGTTAGAGTAGAAAAATATTCTGCTAAAATGTATCCTCTGGAGCATGAAACTTTGTTACCTTTTATGTTCAATACGTTGCTATATTTCTAATCTTGCAGGCTGCAGCTAAAGTCTACCCAAACATTTATGCTTACTTGAATATGAACTACTGTCTGAAAATCAGAATAAAAACCTGAAGTTTGTTGAGAATGCTATAGATTCAGTATTTGAAGGAAAAGGTTTCACTTTGTAGTAGGAAAGTTACGAATTTGGAGGATATTTTTTTTTATTGCAACTTATGGTTTGGACTGTGCATCATGTCAATTAACTACTTTGCCAATCTAGATGCCTAGATGCTTTTTTTTTCTACTTTCAATTGAGCATATCCACCAGTACATTTAGCTCGGTAGTGTAGAAGGGAGGTAAAGAGTTAGCTTTGGTAATGAAGGTTGCAAGTTTTATGAGGCAATATATATATCCATTTCAAATGCTGCCTAATGTTTCACCTTAAATGTTTTCGCCAATTTGGATCCAAACAGTGACATACCAGAGGCAAAGAGTTGTGTTCGGTTCTTCACTAGTTGCTTTCTTTGTGGAGCATTTAGCCGAGAGCAAGACGCTATTTTGCGCCAAATATTTTGGGTTGCCACCACACAGTGCACAAAGCGTTTGACCATCATCCCCATATGTTTTATCTATTTATTAGGAACAATAGTTTTATACTTAATTATATTTTTAATACTTCAAATTTCAATTACGTATTTTTTCTCTAAAATTTAAAATATGTGATTTTAGTGTCTAAAATATATATAAAAAAATATTTTGGTTCCTCATATATCAAAATTTATCTTTTTTACTTCTTCAAATTTAAAACATAGATTTTGAGTCCCAATATGTAAAAATATTATTTTTATTTTTCTATTCAAATGTTATTAATTAACTTATCACATAAATTTTTTTGACTAATGTTATTAGCAGGAAAACATTAAATTAAACCAACTAATATTATAATATTATCTTAATTTGTTATTGTCAATTATGCAATTAATAATTATTAAGGACTAAAATAATATTTTTAAAATTACAAGAGATAAAATTTTTATTTGAGAGACTAAATAATTTTTATATTTTGATAACTAAAAATACTTGTTTTAGGTTTAAGGGACTAGAAAATATATATAAGGACTAAAATAATTTTTTTTTTAATTATAGAGACTAAAAATATAAATTATAAATTTAAGAATTAAAAAAATAATTATTCTAAATTTAGAGTACTAAAAATATAATTAATCCATAAATTTATTTAACCTGGCTCATTTTCCAGTGTTTTATACGTTTTAGTACCTAATTAGTGTGGCTATGCATGCTCTACTGTGTGGCTGTCCTTGAAAAGCAAACTTTCTTGCGTTTATTCTTTTGGCAAGCAATAACTTATTTTCAAGCCTCTTACGTACTTAACTTTTATTGTCATCCTATCATGTTCTTAATATAGAGTTTCTTATATTATCCTTAAATCTCAGAAATTATGATCTGTCATATAGTGGAAATGGATATAATTTTACACGTATCTTTAAAAGGGGAGAAAGAGGCTTTTTCCATGGGCATGAGATTAAGGAACTAATGCATGATTGCATGCCATTGGAACTCCAATTACTTTGATGCATTGATTGGTTGAGAAGATTTAAGAACTTAGAACTCCAATTACATTGTTGCTTGAAATTTACATATACGATTGAAATTGTTGCCTTTTTTTTTATAAAAAAAGTGAGTAAACAATGCATTAATTTTGTAATGAGAATTAATTTTTAAATTTTAGGAAGGAGAGGAGACTAGAGGAGGGTAAAAGATTTTCA